GAAGTAAACATGCACGAATAAAAAACTAAGTGAAAAGTAAAGAAAAATCTTGTAAAATTAATGCGAAATTAAATCGTATCTTTTCATGGCACATTTTAAAATTATTTGATAAGTAATACTACAGGGTACTCAAAAGTAGTGGTGGAGGTACCTTATTTTCTTATAGAAGGCTTGAGGAAATTTTCTTTTTTTATGGGGTGATAGAGAAAATGAAGCTCTATTTTCTGTGCTATTTCATCCTTATTCAATTAGTGTCATAATAAGAAAATTTCGATAAGAACTAGTTTTGTGTAACATATAACTATAATATTGGATCATGTTTTCATCCATGTGCATTTTTATTTTTGGTTGTTTCTTTGTTCCTCTCTTATCTTTCCTTTCTCCGTTCTTTTCTCGTCTGTTTTAACTACATGGTACCTCAGACATTGATATATATAAATGTATATTAAGACACCCATCCAGTTCGTTTCTTGAGTATGTGAAATTTAATCGTATATTGATGAAATAAAAAGCTACTGAGCTTGTTCGATATTTTTTTTATTCTACTATTATTGCCTATGATAGACTACGTGCACCATATTTATGAAGGACTAGCTATTAGAAGAGACGAGAAAAGAAAGAAGAAAGGAAAGAGAAGAGAAGAACAAAGAAACAACCAAAAACAAAAATGCACATAGATGAAAACATGATTCAATGTTACAGTTATATTTTACATAAAATTAGTTCTTGCCGAAATTTTATTACTATGATACTAGTTGAATAAGGAATGGATGGAAAAAGGTAGAAAGGAAAAATATCGAAAATAAAAATGTCAAAAATAAGAATATGAGATGAAGATGAACATGTAAGATTGAAAGTGAAGGTGGAAATATTTGTACTTCAATATATTCTCTTTTTCAGCATTTCTATCAATCTATATTGTATCATTTTCGTTTTCGATATTTTTCTCTTTCGAAGTTTTTCTTTCCTATCTTTTTCCATCATATCCCTGAAAGAATTTGAGTCTTAGTTGGTAGCAGACTATTTTCACTTTAACAGAAGGGTTTTTAAGCGAACTTTTTTAGAATTAAATTATTTGTTCCTTCAAGGTGCACCTTCTATCCATCATTTAGATCTAATGATTTCATAGTAGAGCATACATTTATGTGATTAATTAAATAACATACAAAACTAAATCAATTAAATGAATTAGTGCATGTTATCGTTTATGTGCCAATGGGCATATTATCTTATGGGATATCTTTTCTTTCTCACTGTGTTGCTATACAATCAATGACATGTAGTGTTCATAATCGCGTTACTGTTACGTTTATCTATGCATGATTGAACCTTCTTCTTTCTCTGCCGTAATGAACTTCTCATTCTATATCATCATTCACTCGTATATTATATGTATTGTTCTTACTTATCTATTCATACCCTATATCCTTACTCTATTGTTCTTCTATATGTATTCTCTCCTTGGGCTCATCTTCTTTCTTTTCATTCTCTCTTATTCTACTCGTGTATATAAGCGTGTGCTTTATATGTAAATGATACGATTGTATGATGAGGGAATAGAATAAAGTGTATCACCAATCACACTAATATCCCTTGTATCATTGATCATCACAAGACGATTATATACTATGAAGGAATAGAATAAAGTGTAACCCCATCGACACTAACATCCCTTCTATCATTTTTCGTCACAGTTTATATGCGAAGAAATGATTGCAACGAATTGATCTGTCACCGTTATATTAAAATAACAAATGGTGATGCAACAACTGAATTAAATCAGCTTGAAGAATATGAGAATAAATAAAATAAAAGCTCGTGTTAAGCATTGTATATGCAACAAAGAAAAAGAATATTGTTAGAAACGAGTTAATTCCATATTAAATACTCTAATATGGCTATTACTTGACATTTTTCATTAGTGAAAATTGAATTTTATCAGCAATAATTATTACATTTCAAATTGGTTCGCAAAAATAAACGAAGAATTCTATATATCATCATAAACTATTTCTTTATGAGAAACATTATGCAATGAGATACGGCGTCTTCTCTAAATATTTTCCATGCTCATTTCATATACAATTGGATGTTTTTTTCGTCTTTGCACCAGCTCACCACATTGTATGGCTTTGATCATTATCATATTGACTTCATTGTATAGTTGAATGATTATCTTTTTTCTGTTTAAACAAACCAACAAAATGGTGTCTGATTATATAGTAGACTCTGAATTATTTATAGATATGAATAGATTGATATCGGAATAATAATCTTTAGAAACTGATGTTTAACAAAAAAATGATTCCAACGTATGAAAATTGTTCGAATATTAAGAAAAAAAAATAGTTTGTTTACTCGCAGAAAAAGGCAAGATTTGTCAGTATGACAGCAAATCAAATCAGTGGCGAATTTTGTTTGTATTCGAACATCATTATCGTTCTCATTGAGTTTTTTTGATGATCCCTTACTGTTATAACAATTCGTCAAGAGAGAGTTGAACCTATTCTTCATAATTCTTTATAGATCGATTTCTATTTTAGAAGCAAAGTCGTTGAATGAGTTCAAAAAGAGAAATTATTTTCAGTTTGACACAAAGAAAAAAAAACATATGCGATCAGAATAAGTAAAAAGGTAAATTACCTGCAAAGACGATTTCTTCATGTCGAACTAATATGTTCTCGTGTGTTTTTTACAAAAACTTCCTATACAGTTATGTCGATTACAAATGTAATACGATCAGATAATTATCAAAAATATATACATATATATAGCATTTTCATAAAAAACAGCACACCGGAAACTCTGCTCACAATCAGCGTCAAAATCCATATTACACTGAAAGTCATGTCAACAGTTACGGTATAACCGCGTATTTTATTGACGACTTTCGTCATTTTGACACTGACCGTCAGATTAATTGTTAAAGTTTCATTGTCTGAACTAGATTCTTGCGCAGGTTAAACTTTTCAAAGGCGAACCCATCCAAAGGTCGGCTCAGCTTACAAAACTCTACTGTTATCTGTACTTGTGCTTTACCTATTATTATTCCATTTGATTATGCTAAACATACTAAAATAAGTCATTTATTCTCTTGTTTCTCTTCTCAATCTGACATCTATTAATTAGAAAAATAGAACAACAAGAAAGCTCCATTATTTTATATTTCTCAAGAGCGTAGAAAAAGATGAAACATATTATAGGATGGCTTTGTGTTGTTAGACATGGTGTGGGTGTAATCGGGTGCTTTGTATAGCGCCTAATGATTCACTCCCATCCCCGCGTTTTTTTGATCAATTTCGTTTTTTTAATATTGATACTATGAACTGATTTCGATACAGATAAATTTAACGTTGCCTATTGAGTAGAAGATTGTTAATAATTACCATTTTAATCATAGTTTTCTCACTATTAGAAACTTGTTAGATACTTAATGAGTCGCCACATTCCTAATACTTTAAACTATATTCATTCAACAATCTTATTTTTCGGTTGTTTTAGATATGAAACTTGCGTAGTTTATCATAAAAATGGGTCAGATAAAATCTTCTATTTAGAAGATAATATTATCCGTTTCAATGTATTGATATGTGACATTTGACGATTCTGTTATATAATATTTGAGAGCGAAGAAATGAATATTGATATTGTTCATCTAGATAGAATACTCAAAGTGACAAACAACAAATTGAAGAAATACGATCTGATGAAAGGCTAAGAGAAATGAATCTTGTTTTGAGAATTAGACTGCATTTTCATGTGGCAATTCTTTCTCAACAATCAATATGGAATATTTACAAATTCTTTCTAAACTATCGGTGTACAACTGACTCTCATAAGCATCACTCAGCTGAGCATTTCTTCTTCACATCAATTATCTCTGCGACTGATTATATGAACACACTACTGAATAATCTTTTGGAAAAGAATTAACTTCAAATTTCGAAAAACCAACAACAGATTCGCGTTTCCCCAACTCGAGAACCGTCTGTGAAACTTTGTAAAATATCGTCATTTTCTAAGAAAAGCATAATTGTTTCGATCATAATCGATATCATGTATATTCGACGTGGAAAATAAACATTCGCACTCTAGATTTTTTTCTCAAAATGTCAACATTAATTCACTTTTCTTTTTTAATGGATAACTCCACCAAAATTTTAACTTCTCTAAACAAACTATAAAAAGTGATCATTAAAGTAACGATTCTCAACTGAGATATAACAATTCTATATTAATATTAAGCAGTGTTTCATGTTAAATAACTTGAATTTTAGTTAGACACCATTTGATTTATTTAAATGAGGACATATCGAAACTAATATTTATAAGAGTGTGGATGTGGGTGGATGTGGACGATAACAATAGTAAGAACCACACCTACACGTGCATTTATGGCCACACTCACATCCACACCCAGTAATGAAAAAAACTCAACTGCAATAGGTTTTATTAGAGTGTGGGTATTGGACTTCACTTCACCTACACTCATTGAAATTTTGATATTAGATATTCGCTGGGCAGATGTAGCTCAATCCAAATTTTCGTCCCCTATGGTGATACTCTTATGGTTTCGATCTTATGGTCGATAGATATTCGAACCAATAGAAATTTTTCTCTCGTCGTGTTATGATAGCTTCTTATCGATGTAAACAAGTATATGAAGATAGCACACACGTGAATATGTGACTATTTTGTTCTTGCCATCATACAATTACAGAAGGAAAGAGAGAGAAAGAGTAAATACATGATATAAGATATTTGACATCATCATTACGTATTGTTTGAGTAATTACACTATTCATAGTGAGTGTCATTTAGAATTTATTCTTACTTGAATAATGTACTTGTGTGTATTCGAATTTTTACCAGTTGAATTAATTCATGAAATTTTTCATTATTTATGGGCACATGAGATTTACTATGGATTCTCTCAGTTAAGTGCTTATGTTGATAGTGTTCTTATTAATTATAAGCGATATTCGATTAGCTTGTCGTCTATGCTCAAGCATCAATTTGATCTTATGTGTCAGCTTATCCGACCAGAACAAGTCATTTCTATTACAATTGCTGAAAATAATGACACACCCGATCAATCAAATTTATTTTTTTCAAAATTTGATATTCTACAATTTATTAATCTTCGTTCATTTGCTATTATCTCATCAGATCAGAGTATTTTCAGACAATTGAGTCTTTTATGTCAATTTAATAATTTTCAATCGTTAACTTTACCACACATTTCATCAACTTATTGGTGTCATTTTGGATCTCAAGTAGAAATCATCCTACCTCGATTGAGACAATTGATTACAAACCAATGTCCACTATCGAAACCATTGAACAATTTAAAATATTTAACTGTTACACATTGTTATTGTTATAATTTGGGATATTTATTTCGTCAAATGCCCAATCTTTCTTCTTTGAACATTACTATTTCCCTTGATGTTTTTACTCAATGGTCGGAAAAAGTCTCAGTGATGAATTATCTAAGACGATTGATTCTTTGTATCGACTGTAAGATAATTTTTTAATCTAAGATTAGTTTTTAATAACTTATCTGTTATCTTTCTATTTAAACGATCAGATGGCCGATTGACAATGGGTAGAATGAATCAATTTTTGTCGAAATTGCCTTGTCTAATGCATTTTGAACTTCAAATTACCGATCCAATAGATATTGTTGGTGGTACACAATGGACACAGTGGTCTCGACATTTAAACGTCGATGTTGAAGATGTGAAGGATATAATCGATGGTCATCAATGGAAATATTCAGTATCACATCTTCAAACATTTGATTTTCGATTTTGTCTCTCGCATAAATCCAGCGAACAGATTCTTGATTCATTTCGATCATCATTTTGGCTCGAACAAAAACAATGGTTTGTTGCCTATGATGATCATCAATCATCACCGTGTCTTTTTACAGTACCTCGTTTTGCACCGAAGAACATTATTTATTCGTCGAACTATCGTACATTACCATGCACATCATCAGATCTATATTTTGATCAATTTGTTGACATTCTTACGTTGCCCACACTCTGTCCACTGAAGCATCGTTTCATCAATGTAACGTCACTGGTATCCCAAACATATAACACTATCAGTTTAGATCAAATTTTGCCATTTTTACAATTACCTCGCTTACAATCACTTGCATTTGTCAATGCACCAGTGTTGACAAAAAATATTTTTCAATCGATTCGTTCATTGACGATCAATCGCACTGTGATGAAATACTCTGCTGAACAAATATGCATCGTATTTCCACGATTAGAACGTTTATATATCAAAATAGATGATCCAGACACAATGCTTTTGTTAATTGATAGACTGAAACATGTATCGATTGTTACATTTGTTTATTGTCAATCATCATTATTCAAAGATTTGACACATGAATGGTTTATTCAAAATTCGACACGATTGATGGCAAACAACAATTTTACATGTCATAAGAATGGCGATAAAATACACTTGTGGATGGACGTCACATAAGGGTTGCCAGATCTTCCGATGTGACAAGAAAAATTTCTGATTTTCGAACTTTTTTCCAATCACTTTTCGATTTTCTTTTTTTTCTGATTTTTGGAATTTTTCTTAAATTCAAACTTATTAATCATTTGAATAAAATTTAACCGTTACTTATTACTACATTCCGAGTGTTCCAAGAGTCTCTTTCTAGAAGTTTTTTTAGTATATCTCTACTATTCAATTCATCTTTATCAACTATTTTTTTTCAAGTGATAGATGGGTACACCGAATTTTTATTTATACAAGCAAACTTTAAAACCATTCTTCAAAGCTATCATCTCCAATTGAAATATAAAAATGATTCGTGTGTTCATTTGAATTTGCAATGCACTCACCAAAACTTACTATGTGATGTGTAATCTCAAGCAAACTAATTCTAGGATTCATTTTTTGATGATCCAACGCTTGTTCGACAAAATACCTTGGCATACTCCAAAATTTCTTTTATTTGATTTTATAGAAAAAAAAGTGATTTCCAGCAACAAACGATAGCAGTACATTGCGCCTAGGCAGTTCGCGATGGTCTGACCAATAAATTTGACGATTACTTGTTTAGAACATATGGATCAACTTCATGATTTTTTGCATTCACTAGACTTAATACCATTGGATTTATTTTGGTGAGAATATATGAAAAAAAATGTCTATACAACGATTGTTGAGAATCTGAACAATTTACAGATTGGAATGATTCAAAAAATCGGAATAATCAAAAACGAATCTTTGTTTAATGTTTTTCGACATATAAAAAAAAAACCTTTCTTTGTATTTTAGTTAGAGATGATGGCTTTGAAGGATGTTTTTTTTAAAAGTTTGCTCGCATAAATAAAAACTTGGTATATATTCGTTTATCATTTGAAAAAAATAGTTGATAAAGTTAAATTCAATAGTAAAGTTATACTAAACAACTTTTAGGAAGAGACTTTTGGGACATCCTATATATGCACTTTATATTTCTGCTTCTATTTTCATATAGAGTTAACCCTAAGGTTTTTGAGAAAAGAATAAGTTCGACAACTAAATCATTGATATAGGTTTCTTCATAATGAGTGAACTGTAAATAAATCGAAACTGGATAAAGCATATTATGTTAATGGAAAAGGATACTAGGCATTTAAACCATTAAAAAACTACTTTTCGACATATTTCCAATAAAAGTCATTGTTTGAATGCTTCTAATCATCATTTTTGATTTCATCAAGCGTACTCTATCTCATAGAATATAAGAAAGATGATATTAGCTAAAAAATATCACTAAAAATCTACTATTTCGAGAACAGGTCAGAATGAATTATGTTTGACCCTTTTCCTGATATCTTATCGAGAGAGAAAAAATAATTCATTTGGGATTGAAGTAGACTTTCATAGTATGGTAAGATCCATGACTTGATTATAAACATGAGAAAATAAGAACACAGTAATAGTTTTTCTTTTGAAAATCTGAACGATCGAAAACTTATTGGTATTCTAGAAATTTTTTCAGAAAATTCTTTGATAAGCCTATGAAATAGAGCTTGAAAAACTTTGCAAAATGCCTAACTCGATTTTGTCATATCTTACAATGAAAATACATTAACAAAAATAAATTCTATTTCAGGCTTAAGAACTATTCGTAAAACATAGGCGCAATATGTCTAGAGAGTGGTAGTTTGTGACTTGTATGGGGTGCGGATGACACGAATATGAACACCTACATCCATACCCCACCCTAGGTTAACCATGTTATTCATCAAATTATATTCATAAATCAATATGTAAATTTTAAATGAAGAATAAATTTATTATCCACCTTTTCATGTTGCTAGAATATAATATATGTCGAACGAAGAAAAAGGATTTTTTTTTAAATAGTGAATTTCGACTATGATTATGTAATAAAGTTAATCTTAAACAGTGGTATAACCTCCATCTGCAAGTAAATTAGCACCAGTAATAAATGAACATAAATCCGAAGCAAGAAATACGACTAAATTAGCTATTTCTTGTGGTGTACCTATTCGTTTTAAACATTGCACTTCTGATCGTTGTTGAATGCACTCATCCATAGTTAAATTTTTAAAGTCTGCCACTTGAGTAGTTACTGGTGTTTCTATGATATGATCGGTATATATTAGTTATGAAGTCAAAATAATCACTATAAAAAACTTACTGATACAACCAGGAGAAATAGAATTACATCGAATATTAAATGGACCTAGATCGACTGCTAAATTTCGTGTCATTTGTATTACAGCTGCTTTTGTAGTACCATATGGAACAAAACTTGCTTGACCATTTACGCCACTTATACTACCAAATTGAATGATAGAACCTGAACGTTGTTGTTTAAGTAAAGGTACAACATGTTTAACTATCAAAGCACAACCACGCACATTAACATTTAAAATATGTAACCAATCATCAGCTGAAATATCTTCAATGGAACCCCAAGTAAATATAGCTGCTCTAAAAATGAAAAAGAAAGAATTTATTAAAAACCATATATTACTTATTATTTGATTCTCAACGATAAAAATATGAATGAAAAAAAACCTTTCTACTCTAATCTTTCCGTGATTGATTATATTCATACGTACGCATTAACGAGAACGTGAATTGTACCCCATTGATCAACTACTTGTTCTACTGCTTGTTCAATGGCTTGTTCATTAACTATATCAAGTTCTAAACTCATTATTCGATCCGATTGTCCATTTTGTGTTTCAAGAATATCTACCACTACTTTATCTGCAGCTGCCTTATTAATATCAGATACTACTACTTTAGCTCCATGCATTGCACATGTGCGGCAAATGACAGAACCAATACTTCCACTAGCACCCGTAATAAACACAACTTTGTCAATTAAAACTTGAGACCAACTTTCATTTTCTTTTCGTATTGACATCTTACCGAGTGAAGCAATGGATAATGAAAAATGATCAAACAATATGAAAAGATAAGAATGAAAACTCTATCCGTTACTTTGTGCTTTATATTTGATGACATTGACCTGCTATTCGATAAGATATTATCAGAACACGAAGAATCACCTTTGATAATACTCTCACATAGGATTGGTACGCTTACTGTAAGGTGAGGGTGTTCGAGCGAAACTCTCTCTTGTTATTGGAAAAAAGACCATTGAATAAGAAGGTAATTGTGTATCCGTGCACTTTTAAAAAATTGCATATCTCCTTACTGCAGTATCTAAAAGAATTTTTCTTGCATCTCTTCCACTGTGTTTTCGTCTTCACATTTCTGAAAAAACATTCAAAGATGAAAAATGGCAGACATAAGTAAGGGCAATATTTTTTTTTTCGATTGAAACAATAACATGAAGTGGCTTACGCAGTGACTGAAAAGAAAAAAACTTCATGAAGTCATCGTATAGTTTACCATCTTTTAGATGACTTCTGAACAAAGTTCAATTGTATCTATTATTCAGAGTAATATAAACAGGTGAAATATATTATCTTATTAGAAATTTTCTTTGTTACTCACGAGTAAAATTGTCAACCATACATCCGGTTCCTTTCCTTTTGTCATTCTACCTTTGTCTTGCATTGTTGTCAATGAGAAAATAAAGTTCGCATTAGTTTAAGTCTTGCAAAATATTATTGATTTGTGAGACCTCGTATTTTCTTATGATTGTTTTTAACGTTACCTTTATTATTATTAGGCTCTTTCGTCATATGCAACAACAAATTTGATGATATAAAATAGGACAAACTACTGAGAAAATAAATCTTTGAACGACCTTCAACACTCGCTTTTGAACTGAACGTTACATCAAAATTCAAGATAGTTAGGGAAAAGGATGTGTTTCTCATCTAAGATGTATTTTCAATGAACTTCCTTTCAACATCGTATATAATGTATCATCAAATGAGACAATATTAAGAGTTTTCGTATATTATTCTTCACTTAAGTTCAAATCTATGAAAAAAAGTTCTTCTCTCTCAGCAAACTTCTTCAAATTAAATTTGATTTTCTTATTTCATGCAAATTATAATCACAAGTTTACATCCAATATATAATATAATATCAATTGGTAAATAAAAATATGTTTATTTACCCTAACAAACAATATGCATAAACAATGGGTTGGATTTAAATCAAAACTTATCAATAGATTATACTACTTATCAAGAATATACAGCTTATTTATGTTCTCAATAATATCCTGTCAATAAAATTTAATGCATCCATCGCATGTGAAAGTCAATTTTATTTAACAAATTTAATATTAACAGTAGTTTTTATTACATCAACATTATTTGTTTTGTTTACATATGCTACTTAATTGATCGATACACATTCATCCACATTACATGTTGATATATATTTATAAGATCAATTTTTGTGTGGTATGCAAATAGCAAAAAAAAAGAGTTGTAAATAATCAATCTATACACAATTAGATATGTATATATATCTTGAATTTTTTTACGGTGACATTTATATTTTAGAACATATTTGCATGGATTATATCAAAATAACGACAAAAGAACAGATTTCAAAAAAACAATGCTTCAAACAATAAATAGATCAGATGAAAAATAATCAATTGAATTGGTAAATCTTCTTGTTTATGCATGTAGCATAGATAAAAGAGCAATTAATTCAAAAATTAAAAAACTTTTATTTCTATATTTTTTTATTCTGTTTGGAGAAAAAAATTAAGGATAAAATTTTTTGTTCTCTTTGGCCATATCTATTAATAATTGTGTTGGAGCAAAACGATCACCATATTCTAATTGATAATTATTCATTAAATCAACTATATTAGAAGTACCATAGGTATCCATAAAACGAAACGGACCTAAACCGATAATATATAAGAATAGAAAAATAATAGAAAAAGAAAAGATATTATATTTACCTCCTTTCATTGGAGGAAAGCCAAAACCGAACACAGCACCAATATCACCATCTGTCTAAAAAGACATATGAGATTTGTTTAAAAGTTATACTATGAATTTCTACAAATTAAACAGCTTTCAATTGAGAGAAAGAATGAGATTAAAAAAAACATTCCTTTTTGAATCATATTTCTATTAGCCATCACGTTATTGATCTACTGGATTTTTGTATAGCTATTCGGATACATTCAAGACGAAATAAGTGTAAGTATAAAGTGTAGTCACTTTCCCTTATCAAAGTTCATAATTCGCTGTTATCAAATGGCCATTACGATTATGTTCTTTTCTTTTTACATTAAAAGACAAATTTAAAGACAACGGATCAAAGTTCTGAGATTTTACATGAGGAAAGAAATCTTTCTTGATCAATTCAAAAGTTTCAGTATTTCTTCTCTCTTTGTACATTTTCCATGAAGAAATTTAGATTTCTACAAGAGTTCATTCATGGCCTCGCTTATTTCAATTTAAGAATTCCAATCAAATTGCGAATAGAGTAGTGTATAATCAATTTAAATAAAAAACATGATTTTTTCGTTTTTTTTCTGTCTCGAACATTTTCAATCAATACTGTAACAATTCAAATAAGTGAATAAAGAAAACTCTTTCGTATGATAGGACTTCATTGTCACTAAATCTTCGATTTTTATATATTCTAAAGGATCTTCTGTTGATCAAATATTCAATATTTTGGTCTTCGCTTGCTGAATTATAGGCGTTTTGCTCTATGAGTATAGAATCGTTGAAAATCTGGACGATTGAATTTTGAGCTAAAATTTTGTCCACAGATAGACTCCACCGTCATTAGAAATACACTAAATTTTGAATCAGAACGAATGTATCCTTGTTTAGATATTTACATTTTAAAGAAACATCTGTTTTGGTCTGTGTTTCAAACGAAGAACGTTTCTATGAGAAGTTAATATCTCGCTGTAGGTATATTTGTCCTAGCTCAAAATTTAGCATATTTCTAGTGACTATAAAGCTTAATTGTGGACAAAATTTCAGCTGGAAATACGATCATTCAGATTCTCAGTGATCCTGTGCTCATAGAGCAGAAAAATCAAATAAAACATTCATAACTCGACAAGCGAACATCGGATAATTCAAACAGAACAGTCTTTTTAACTACTTTATTCAAACATAACTTTTCTTGTAATAATTAAGATTTCTATAATAATTTGATCGTATTAAAACTCTCTCTGATAAATAATCATCTACATAGAAAGTCTTATTTATGATCACAGACTTCCTAACTAATTTCTTCTCATCTACAAAACAAAATTCATTCCAACACATTTTCAATACATACTGGAGAACTAATAACATTTTCTTCCAAACATCTTGCAGCTTCATTTAAAATTCGAAGACTTATACGCCATTGAATAGTTTCTATTTTTGATCTAAATATTTAATTATATCAAAAGAAAATGTATCAAATATTCTGTATTTACATGTCTTTAGTTTGTGTCAAAGAATTTCTAAGTAGTTCTTTACATTTTGGATTAATCTTCTTATTACCATCATTAGAATAAATATATAAACCTTGTCCAGATTTTTTTCCAAGTAAATTATTTTTAACGAATATTTGAAGTAATTCTATTACAGATGAATTAGCAAGACGTTCACCAAATATATTCTTTAGATGACATACTATATATGTAATCATATCAATACCAAAATCATCTAATAACAGTGGCGTAGCCAGGATTTTTTACATAGGTAGCAATTTACCAGCTAAATTATTTTGAATAGGTGGCAGCAATGGGCAATTGTAAAACCTAGTGGGCAATAGTTTTTTAAATACTTGTCCGCATTACAGAATTTGTTGTTTACTGAAGAGAAATTAGTCATACTGGATTAACAGATAAATTTGCTCGCTTTTTTTAAACACTATTTCAGAAACGTACTGTTTGATTTCATATATTTTAATATTTTATGTCAAAAAGTCATAAATAAGTATCAATAGAACAAGAAAATCAATCTCTTTTCTGAATATGTGGTAGAGACACAATGACTGTCAGTCTATCTTTTTTCGTGAAACATTGATCAATGCCTCATTATTTTCTTTCGTCAGGCAATGAAGGTTCGTTTATCTTCTTTAATCGGACAACTGCATGAGTTAGTTTGTCCTATTACGTCGGACAATGACAAGCATTACTCCACATATATCTCTAACAAATTCTCAATCATGAAAGCTTTTTTGCATGGTTTCAATGTTCAGTCATATGTGCATTCTGTAAATTACATATTATCATTTCATTTCTAGTACTTTCAATGCCTGAGATGAGTTTTCAAAACACTGTCGTTTAGATACTCAGTCGATTTTTATTTAGATTTTCTATGTAGTTTATTCACGTTTTCAACTCTAAGAGTGCAAGAATCATGTTACAACATACATTGTGGAAGCTTTTAATTTAGATTGCTTCAGTCGTTTCTGTACAATACGATTTATGTTCGTAGAGAGATCGTTGAGTATTCATTCAAGTTTCTCTTTAGCTCATTTAAGTATATTAGAGCGTATTTTGACAGAAAATACTATTAAATCATTATTACTTTGATCATTCTTTGAATGCAAACGATCGTAGATTGATTTTTGTAAATCACTTGATTAGATCTCATCAAGAGAAAATGTATTGAAAGAAAACACTCCTTGAATCTTTAAGCATACACAGGTATTAACATTTTTTGACAATGGGCAATTGCGCGCAATTAAAAAAAATTAGGTGGCAATAGAATTTGATTTAGGTGGCAATTGCCCAATTGCTACCCTGCTGGCTACGCCACTGTCTAATAATATTGCTAAACCAATATGAAAACCAAATTTTTTTGTTGCTTTATCAATATCATTCGGTAATAAACCTTCTTGTAAAAGATAAAATAATTCAATAAAAGAAAATATTAATAAACGTGTTGTATAAAATCCTGGACTATCATTAACTATAATAATAATTTTTCCTTGTTTAAGACCAACACTAACTGCTGTACAAATCGTATTATCAGATGTTTGTTTAGCTCGAATAATTTCTAATAATTCAACTTTATCAACTGGAGAAAAATAATGCATACCAATAACCTATTATTTATTTAAAAAAATAATCTTTTTTTTTCTAATTTTATTTTAAAGATGATTTACTTTATGTGGACGTCGACTATTTGCAGCTATTTGATGAATAGATAGTATATATGTATTAGACGCAAATATACAATGTTCTGGAATGTATTGTTCAAGTTCATTAAGAATATTTTGTTTTAATTTAAGATCTTCAAATACACTTTCTATTATAATATCACATTTTTCTAAATTATCAAATGTTGTTTGACAATTTAAATTCGATAATATTCGACTATATTCAGTACTAGATTAGAATAATATTATATCATAATCAAATGAGAATCATAATATTTCTTTCTTTTTACCTTGTTATTCGATTTCGTTTAATATAATTTTGATAACTCTTAATTATTTGTGATTGACCATGATAAAGTGCACTTGATGTAGTATCATAAAGTATGACTTGAAAATCTTTATCAATAGATACATGTGCAATACCAGCACCAATTTCACCAGCACCAATGATAGCAATAGTTCTATTATAAGAAAAAATAGTACCACTCAAAATTATTAGAACAATACACTTTGAATTTTTTTCATTAATATGACAAACACAACTCTCTGATGATTGTATGACAACTTACTTGATTTCTCTTTCGGGTTTTCCATATTTATTTTTTTTACATTCAGTACGTCCATGAAATAGACTAATTAATGCTTTTGATTCATTAGTTATAGCAAGATCTGCAAAAGCCTAAAGTTGATCAATTCATTTATTCTTTCGTTTTAGAAAAAATAAAATTTCAGAGCTTACTTCTGCTTCAGCATTTAATCCAACTTTTGAACCATTTTCTAAAGTTTGTTGGATAACCTAATAATAAAAATTTTCTTATGTACTTCTTTTTTATTTCTTAATATATAGATTGATATACAAACATCTAAAATTTTCAATGGTGCTGGATAAAGACCTTGTGTTTGTGACATAACTTTTGCTTGAGCTTGAGATAAAATATAATTTCGTACATAAGAATTTAACATTATTATTGATTTTATATCTATCGTGAATAGTTAATAACTAATAATAAGAGATACAAAGTCTCCTACTTTCCATTAGTCCGAATTTTCGCTTAGTAGGTTTTTGTACAACAATTTCTCTAGAAAACAAAATAGAAAGAATCCAACGACAGAAATTCCACTATAATAGAGAATGTTAATGTTTAAAATGAGAAAAGACTTCAACTTCTTGTAAAATTATGCGTATTCAGGGAGTTTCTACCTTTCATATCTAACAGAGTCCAATTCGGGCGGAGTCATAATAAGTTTACCGATATCGAGTCTCACCTTATCCAAAGAGCAATTCTACATGAGATAATAACTTCGTTCTTTTCAAATTTTGAGAGGGTTTCTAAGGATTCACTAGTAAATATATTTAATCTCTGATCGAGTTCAGTTATGCACAAATCGGATCTTGAAAAATTGACCCGTAGATATCTGTGGTAGAATCATACAAACTAAAATATCGATTTTTATGCAATACTCATATAGAACTTCTATTTCATCAAACTTTTCTTTTTAATGATTGAATACATACTTGACTTTTCGTATAGCAATTGAACGTAAATATTCAATATTTTGTTCTTCCATATCTTGAACATCAGATCGAATTGGTTCAACAAGAATATCAACTAAACCCATTGCTTTGGCTTTTTTTGCTTTAATTTCTTTACCCGTTAATATAAGATCCAATGCATCAGATAATGAAAGATTTTTTAAAAGTCTTTGTGTACCACCAGCACCAGGTAATAAACCTAATTTAACTTCTGGTACACCAAATCCAGTTCGTTTATCATTCATTCCAATGCGATAATGACATGCTAAAGCAACCTAATAGCAAAAAACTAATTATAAATTTTAAAAAAGACTAACGAAAAGAAAAATAAAACCTAACTTCAAATCCACCACCAAGACATGATCCAGCAATAGCTGCAATAATTGGTTTTGATGATTGTTCAATTTGATTCATTATTTCTTGACCATTACGTGACATTTGATAAAGTTCATCACGAGATTTAACAGATTCAAACATACTGAACAAATAAACGAATATTAAAATTGAATGAAAAAAATTATTCTTTCTAACTTAATATCAGCTCCGGCAATAAATGAACCAGGTTTAGCTGATATAACAATAATTCCTTTAATATTATCATCTTTTTTTAAATGATTAAATACTGGAACGAATTCATTCATCATTTTTCGTGATAATGTATTAACCTTAATTAATTATTGAAATTATTAATCTTGTTTTTTTTTAAATAGAATTTTACTTTAGAATTTTCTTGATTGAGTTGAACAATAGCGATATTATCTTCATAATCAAGTTTTATATTTTTTAATTGTTGTAAATCAGCTAAATAATTTTTATATACAAGAAAAACCAAAGAATATAATGAATATCTTACTCATTGTTCTTAAACTAATGATTTTGAAATCCAAATAATAAATCTATTAGAAAAAAATTGATTTGTTAGATATGTTACTGTGACTGAAGTTATCATTTCAAAAATTAATTTTATCTAAACAATATGGTCAAGCATCTTTTCTTGTCTGTAATTTACCTTCTAAAGAAAAATTAACCAATGAAAATAATGATAGGATAAATGAGTTATAATTGATCTGATACAAATATATTGATAATATAAAACCATTGAAAGTACAAAATTATCATTTTCTCATAATATCCATCGAATTCAACACGCAATAGAGAAATATTTTTGATCATGAAAAGACTACCTAGAAGTGTCCGACATAAGAAAGCTTTCGTTTTGAAATATGAAACGGTGGAATCGTTGTTCTTGTCTTTTACATGAATGGATAGAAGTCGAGGTCATATGAAGCAAGGAGCCGCCATGGTTGAGTGGTTACGTTGTTCCATAGGTACCCACATGGTATTGTATTTAATAGAAATAGAAAATATCCAATATGTACACGAGAAGAGTTTAGAAGTATGTCTTTTCATTTTTGAGACACTCTGTTCTGTGATGAAAAGAAAATATTGATTGTAGCATTTCATAATGTACGTGAAACGGAAGTTAATGAAACACAATTTGACTTTAACTCCTCTTCTTTCTTCATATATCAAATGATACTTGCATCAGACTTTGAATCTAAATGTTTTTCATCCATTAACAATCAAAGGATGATCTCATACAGATGAAGCAAACTATATTTAGTTCTCGTTTAGGAACTACATATTATGACAAGATTTGTAACTTAAGTTTAATTTTATTTTCTTTTATTTATTATTATATTATATGCAATTCAAGATATTAAGCATTATACGATCGATTTTAGGATGTATATTTCTAATGAACATCATCTTGTGCGCGAAGATTATCGATTAATTGTTCTACTGGTTTGCCTGATTTTTTAGCCCATTAAAGAACTATATCGAATTCATCTAGAAATCGCTCACGATCTTCTCTAGCATGACGAAGACCTTCACATAAGTTTCCTAATAATTGTTCTGTTGCTGCATTATCATTAGCTTCAACAGCTATGTGTAATTCTTCAACTAACTGTTTTCCAACTTCACAGCGAGCACGAATTTTTCAGCAGCACTGTTAAATAATGCTTTGAGTTAATGTAACAAATTTTCGGAACAAAACATTTTTATTCTACAAAGCCTAACTTACTTTTTCTACTTACTCACGGTATTCCAGCTCGTGACTAACGCATCTATTTTATTAGCTGCCATTTGTTCCTAAACAATAAAACAAGATCTAACAACGAAGATAAAAGATCTTGCTCATACTTATT